GGTGGGTGGGTCGTGGGTGGGTGGGTCGTGGGTGGGTGAGGTGGGTGGGTGGGTGGGGGGACCGGCTGATACTCATGATGCTCGTTGTCAGCAACTAAATTCAGTTGCCGGTTCTGGTGCCCTTCGGAAGGGTGGTGGGGGGGGTCCAAATCTGGGTATGCTTTACCCGTAAACAATCTCCTCTTCGTCATCGGCCCCGGCCATGGCGTCACCTCACGCCGTACTGTTTCGAGCCTCGAAAACACGTGCTTTTCATCCTGAGCTTTAACGGCCTGAGCTGTTACAGGATTGGGGGGGGGAGTGCTGACGGGTGTAGGTTGTGCCTCCCTGAAAAACCTTGGCCCTGACTGCAAGCCCAAAAATCCCTAAACCCTAAAGCTTAACAAGAACTGGGACTATAAGGGCAAACCCTATAAACCCTACACCCCTAAACCACAAAACCCTTAAACCCTAGACACTCTAAAGACCCTAAGCCCGAAACACCCTAAACCATTAAACCCCTAAACAATAAATACACACCCTAAAACCCCCTAAATCCCAAAACCCCTAAATTCTTAGACACCCTAAACCCCTAGACACCCTAGCCCTAAACCCCAAAGCCCTAAACCCCTAAACTCCTAAACCCTAAACGCCCTAAACCCCTGAAGCCCTAGACACCCTAAACCCCTAGACACCCAAGCCCTAAACCCTTACACCGCTAAGCCCCGTACACCCCCCTAAGCCCTAAACCGTAGACACCCTAAACCCCTAAACCCCCCTAAGCCCTAAACCCCAAAGTTAGACCGAAGTCCCAGCGGTGTACGCGAACACCGTCGGTCGACAGTCCTTGCCGGACATCTACAGCTGCTTAAAGGGTCTGCCAGGGCTTCGTGAAGGGCTCCTTCTATATTTGGGGTCTATAGGGTTGAGGGCTTTAGGGCTTTAGGGTTTAGGGTTTAGGGTATAGGGCTTATAGGGTTTAGGTTTATAAGGGTCCAGGGGTCTAGGGGTTTGCAGGGTTAAGAGGGCTTTCAGGGCTAGGGTTCATAGGGTGTCGGCTTTAGGGTTCAGCGCAGCTTTCAATTTGTGGGTAAGAAGGTCTTGGGGTTTAGGGTTTAGGGTTTAGGGTTTAGGGATCATTGGAAGAGGGGATTGTTCTAAACATCTGCCTGTGGACTCCACAGATCACCCGAACGAACTCCTGCCAAAAACCATGGAACTTGTCTCATGGCTTGTTGCGGCTTGTTTGAAAGGGGGGGGGGCTGACCAGAACCCTAAACCCCAAACCCGAATTCCTGAACCCTAAACCTGGCACCACAGGTGCTTTGAACTACTACATAGTGCGAGATTTTATTGCGGGATCTGTGCTTTGAGGCTTTGGGACCAGAGTCACGGCTTAGGGTTTATTAGGGCTTACGGCTGATAGGGATCAAAGGATTATCCAAACCCCCTAGGTACCCAGAGCCCTATAGGCCCTATATAGTACGTACCTCCACGGTTTAGGTTTAGGGTTTAGGGTTTAGGGTTTAGGATCCTCTGAGATTCAACTTGAGGGTTGGCCTGTCGAGACTTGAGTCAGGGTCCAAGGGCGAATCCCGCCCGTTATCCTAAACCCTATATAAACCCTAAACCTTCGGGATTATGGTAGTGATACGAACAGTGGGGCCCTTAAACAAGGGAGCTTTTACTAAGGTTGGGATCTGACTTGTGAGATCTAGGGCGTCGCGGGAACCTAGTGTTCAATATAGGGTCCCTAACAGTGCGAATAGGATTTAGGGTTTAAGGTTTGGGGTTTAGGGATCCCTAACGATTCCTTCAAGGGATCGATAGAGGTGCCTTTATCATTTTAGGGTTTAGGGTTTAGGGTTTAGGGGGACACTCAGAGGTTTCTTGGTTCTATCTAGTCCGAACCCTAATGCGGGTAGTTGTGTAACCTGAGGGCCCTTTTGGGAACCTTAGAAAAAGTGGTACCCTTATGAACGAGACCCCAAACCCGAAACTCTAAACCCTAAACCCCAAACCCTAACCCTACATCCTAAACCCTAAACCCTAACCCCAAACCCTAAACCCTCTTCAGAGAACTACCCATGTTACTGTCATATTAGCGTTCGGTCAGTCCGGGGGTGCGTGGGTTCAGGGTGCCGTCTCTGGGGTCATAAACCCAAAAACACAAAACAATAATGTATAGGTGCCAGAATAATCAGAATAGGATTTTAGGGGTAGATATTCTAGCGTACTTACTATAAGGACATTCTAGGAAGAGGATTCCTCTAATAATTATTGTCAAGTTTCTGTGCTAGACCACTAAACCCTAAATCCTGAATCCTAAACCCCAAACTGCTAAACTGAAAGCAAAGAGCGTCTCTTGCCTTGCCGCATGTGACCAGCGACTCAAGGACAAGCTCCCACTGTCGCGGAGGGGCGCGGCCTGGGCTGCTCTTTCAGGGTTTAGCTGTATCCCCAAACCCTACGAAATAGTAGGTTATGACCCCTTAACTATAGGGTCTAACACTGAAAACGGTAGGTTTTGGGGTACCCAGGCAGGGTTTAGGGTTTAGGGCTGCCTGGACCCTACTTGGAGGCCCAGGGGAGTTAGTAAGTAGGTTAATAAGTAGAGTTATCAATGGCCCTTAGCCTTAGAGGGTGGGCTTTCGTGGTGGTAGGCTTTCGGTTGTCTGTGAACCGGAACAGATTCCGAAGAGCTTGCAGTTCAGAGCGTAAGTTGCGCCCTACAGGGGCCTTAATAATTCGAATATGGTTTTGGGCTCCTTCATAGGATAGTTATCAGCAGGAGCCCTAAAGACTAATACTTGTAAGTATTTAGGCTTCTATATTCCTAAACCCAAAAACAAAAGACCCTACCCAAAAACAAAAGACCCTAACCCCCTAAACCCTCAACCTCTAAATCCCTAAGCCCTGACCCCCTAAATCCCCAAACCCCTTAACCCTAAACACCAAAACCCCAAAACCCCAAAACCCCTAAACCCCAAAACCCCTGAACCCTAAACCCCCATACCCTTAAATCCTAAACCCTAAACTAAACCCCAGCTTCTCAAGTCCCCCAGCCCGAAAATCCTGACAGCGGAGACCTTTGTCGGATCAATCTCGGCAACTGAGCTTTCCAGATGGGAGTTTCCGAAAATCAAGGTACCCTATTTTGGGGTCCTTATAATAAGGATCTTACTATTTGGGGAACTGTATTAGGGTCCCCTATTTTCTGAAACCCCGAGATCTTCCAAGGGTATCCCCCAAATTAAGGGAATACAGGGGGTTTTCGGTTTAGGGTTTGAGGATTTAGGGGTTTAGGGTTTAGGGGTTTAGGGGTTTAGGGTTAAGGGGTTTAGGAATTTAGGGGTTCAGGGTTTAGGGTCTAGGGTTTAGGGTTATGGTCCCTGCAAGGGTTCTCATAAGCGGTTTCATGGGGTTTGATACGTCGGAATTAAGGTATGTAGCCCTCAAGTATACCAGGATCCCTGATATTCTTTGAGGAGCACATTGGGGTATTGGAATCTGGATTAGTGTATGGCACCCTGAATGAACGGCCTATACCCGGAATCCTAAACTCTTGCACCAAATCTTAAACAAAACCCGAAGCAACAGCATGCTACAGTGCTAAACTGCTCAATCCGTAAACCCTAAACTCTAGACACAGCGGCACATTTATCGCATTGAATTTCAAGCCCTTCATGAGACATCTCAAATTGGAAATAAGCCCAGGAATGCAAAACAAACGGTTTAGGGTTGTAGGGCTTTGGGTTTAGGGTTTAAAGCTCAAGGTTTAGGGTGCGGGGCTTAGGGCTTATAGGGTTTAGGGCGGCTTTTGTGTCACAACAAGGGAGACACACAAATCTCGGCGACGTTTACCAACGGCCTTGCCGTAAGGCTTGCAGGCTTAGAGCTTTGAGGCTGAGGGGGGCCAATGTGCCTGATATAGGAGCCTTAAAAATTAGAATAGGGTTTTGAGGCATACTATACTAGAACTACAATAAGGAACCCCAAAATAGTATGGGTAATTATTCAGCCCTTATTTTAATATAGATAGGGCCTCTACAATCAGATAAATAGTTTTAACGGTATGTTAGAAGCATCAATGCGGCAAACATATGAAGGGGCAAATATGCACCAGCAGCTATTGGCTATTGCTATCGCAAAAGCCTGGCCAGCGGCCACCTTAAGTGTGTTCAGAAGACCTGCGACGTCGTCGATATTGAAGGTCTTGAGATGATCCAGAGCTCCGACGAAGAGACCCAAGCCATGTTCGTTGGGCTGATGCCAAGGAAGCCGATGGGCGGCCCTGCTGGGAAGGGGTTGGGAGGCCTTGCTAACGCAACAGCTGTCGAAGCACTGCCAGGGCAATGACAGGCTCTTCTTGCCGGTGCATGATATCGATGGTCATCTTCTCCTAATGCATAAAGATTGCCCAACACCTGTAAAAGGCTATTATTATACATGCTTTTGGGGTCCAGGTAGCTAAAGCATCAGGGATTACAGGGGGCTCTATTGCTAATCATTAAGACTAGAGTATGGTCTCGGGGTAAAGGGCACGAGGGCTTTTTGGCAAAGGAGTGGCTGATTGCCGTGCAGAGCGTCCGCTCGTCGAACCTGGCCAGGGTGTAGGGTGTCACGTAGGGACCTTAATAGTTAGAATAGGGTCTTGAGGGTTCCTTATTATAGTCATAGTATAATACACCCCAACCCCCATTCGAATTATTAAGGCCTCTACATTAGGGTTCCGGGCTTGTGAGGTTTAGGGTTCAGACTTCAAGGTGTCAGGCTCAAGAAACAAAGCTTTCAAGGCCCCTATATAACGGGCAATATACCCATATGGGATATAGTTGGCCGATAAATAAATATAATATATATATATATATGTGTATATATATATATATATATACATATACATATATAAGCAGGCAGGGAGGTCCTGGTCGACCCCTGCTGCGTCTCGGCTAGAAACACAGCCGCTCCCTCCCAGGCCAATGCCATTGCGGTGGCGTAGGGTCTGCTATGGCTGCTACTTGGGGCTTGTAGGGCTCATTCAAGATGCGAGCCCTAAACCTTAAACCCTGCCGTAAACCCTAAAACTTACACCCCTAACCTTAAACCCCAAACCTTAAACCCCAAACCCTCAACCTTAGACCCCAAACCTCAAACCCTAAACCTCCAGATGCGAGGGCTCCCATCTTCAATGTTCCTCCCTAAGGATCTTAGTGTGCGCAGTTGAAGGCTTAGTGTTGGGGTCTAGGTGTGGCAGTCAACCGTAGGGTTCACCTTAACCTATCAGGGTTTAAGGTTTATGGCTTAGGGTTACCACAACCTAACCTTTTGTGGGTCTCTTTGAAATCCAGATTAGGCTTGGACATGTAGAACAAGAGAAAGGAGGGTTTGGAAGGCTCAGGTAGGGTTTAGGGGCTTTAATAATTAGATTTTGGTGGTTCCTTATATAAGTATAGTATAATATACCCCCAAAGCCTATTCTGATTATTAAGGCCCCTACAGTAAGGGGGCTGTCCATCTGGCAATGATCGACAGCGAATTCTTAAGCAGACGGCTGCAGCAGAGCCAGTTCCTTTCGCAAGCTATAGGGCTTAAGGTTTAGGGTATAGGGCATTGGGTTTAAGGCTTAGGGTATACGGTTCAATTACGGTTTAGGGTTTCGGGTTTAGGGTCATGGATGTATCAGGAGTGATGAAGATATGAGGAGTATACTAACGGTTTCGGGTTTAGGATTGAGGGTTCTAGGGTTTGGGGTTTCAGGTTGAACGACTGCGGTGCTTGATGCTTTGGTCTCTTAGCTTGTGGCCTCTGTATATCTGCCAAGACCTGAGATTACACCTGCACCCCGCGACCCTAAGCTTAAACCTACTTCCCTGAACCCTAAGCCTTGCACCCCCAACCTGAACCCTAATCCCTAAACCCTCATCCCTAAACTCTGCGTCGACTGACTTTCCAGATTAGAGGACCGAGGGCTTAAAAGAGCTATACTGTAAGCGACGTGGGCCGAGAGAGGGGGCCTTGATAGCAAGAGCCGGGTCTTGGGACACGCTATGAAGTCACCGGAAATCCAGAATTCAGTAGAGGCCTTGATGTTGGGCTCTTGTACAGTATAATTATAATAAGGAACCCTAAGAAGAATATCGGTAATTATTTAGGCTTCTACATGAGTAGATTCTGCTTCTAGCAATTACGCAGTCAGGCTTCTTTACACTATCCCAATAGGAGTTCTCTTGCTTATAACTCGACCAACCTACTTACTCTTGAAGCCTGGGTCCTTGGGTTCGTCGTTTGGAGCGACACAAAATCTCTGAAAGCCTCCCAGGTTTTGGGGATTTTGGCTTTAGGACGCACGGAAGGACAACATAGAACATTAACCTGATGCTAGCCCCTCTTGAACCCCGGAAAACTCGGAAGACCCTATGGAACCGGCTAAACCCCTATGAAATTTGCAGAAGCCCATGCACGCCAGTACACCGCGGAAGAGGCATAGTGCCCCTGCACCACTCCGACCGACAAACCTTAGCAGCCTTAGCACATGTAAACCCCACCTCAACATGCAAGCCATGCTACCCACACCTAAAACGCCAAACTACAATCCAACATCCTGAATATCCTACAGCCCTACAACCAAACCCCAAACCCAAAAACTCCAAACCCCAAACCCAAACCCTCAACTCTAAAACCCCAAACCCTAAACTCTAGCAACCCCCCCTATGCCCTACACCCTAAACCCTAAACCCTAAACTTAAACCCGATGCCCTAAAGCCTCAGCCCGGAGGGCCCTCCACCCCCGAAGGTTCAGGTCTCCCAGCCCTAAGCTCCTAATGCAAGATAAAAAAGAGGTTCCGGTTGAGGGTTTAGGGTGTAGGTAGGGGTTTAGGGCTCAAGGGGGGGTTCAGGGTTTAGAGTTCAGGGTTTAGGGGCTAGGGTTAGGGGTTTAGGGTCTAGGGGGGTTTAGGGTCCAGGCTTTCGGGGCTAGGGTTAGGGGGTCCAGGGTTTAGGGGTCAGGGTTAAAGGGGGTGAAGGGGTGAGGGATGTCCGAAACCCGAAACCTAAGAAGCCTCATAGAGAGGCCTTTCCCATCGTTTACGGGTGCGGCCTGTTGAGGTCGCCTACATCTTTGCCGTTGTCGCAGTCGCCCTCCTCGGGGTCCAAACACCCAATACTGCCAATTGTATACTCTGAAATGTTTAAAGGTCTTTGGTACCGAAAACCCGCACACTTTGTGCATTTGCGCCTTTACACCAAAAAGTCCAAGGAAGAGTATAGTATGTACTTTGTGGCCCAAATATCGACTAAGTAGCTTCTACTTTGGTAGTTGGACCCTTTGGGTTAGGCCCATCCCTAACCCTAAACCCATCCCTAAATCCGCAACCCTGTAAACCCTAGACATAGTGGACATCGAGACAGCTGCGGCTTAGGGTTCAGGGTTGTATGGCAGCTGAGGCTTTGGGTGCTATGATCTTCTGGGCTCGTGTAAGGAATAGGGTTTAGGGCTGATCTTCTGGGTTCTTGTCAAGGAATGTAAGTTAAGTTACCATAGTTACCATAGTAGAGATTGATAATGAATAATACGGTTTGCCGATTATGGCAACTTAAACTAAATCCCTTAGCCAAAACCCTGTCTTTGCGGTTTAAGGCTCTGGGGTTGAGGTGCTAAGTTTTACGGTGTGAAAGTGAGAGTTTGAGGCTTTAGAGCATGAGGGCAATAGGGCTGAGGGCAAGCTGCTGGCGTCAGGAAGCTGCACCATGCGACTTTCCATTGAGAAGGGGGGTTCGAAGCTGTTGGGGTTTGACTGGGTTCTTGCTAAGGGGAATAATTTAAGTTGCCATAGTAGCTTTGCCTTAGTATTTACTATGGATCCCTATTATGGTAACTTAAACTTAAATTCCTTAGCAAGAACCCAGTTGAGGCTCTGGTTAAAGTTCTGGCTTTGCGATGTAGGGTCAGGGCTGTCGGCGCTTGGGGGCTTTCAAGGTCTTTAACAATTTGGGTTTAACGTTTAGGGTTTAGGGTTTGGGGTTCAGAGTCTAGTGATTTGGGTTTAGGGTTTAGGGTTTAGGATTCTTGATGGATGTGTTGGGTTTAGGGAGTTTAGCCTTGAGTCTTGTGGCTTGTATGTTCGAAAAAACACTTCGCACACCCGTCCCAACGAGAAAACTCCACACCATCAACTCAGAAGAAACGAACAACATACTATACTACCTCTTATCCATGTATAACCATCCTTATGGGGCCCTGGAGGTATGACTTATAGAAGCAATGCAGTACCCTGTTTTGTTGCAATCGGGCAACCAATGAACTAGCCCTTATCATGCTTATGGTACCCTGAAGAGCCCTCACAGCCACTCCGAGTATAATGTAGGGGCCTTAATAATTCGAATAGGGTTTTGGGCTATATCATGCTATAACTATACTAAGGAATCCCCAAAATAGTAGAAGTAATTCTTAAGGCCCCTATATTACCCAAAGGGTCCAAGTACCTAACAATCATGTACTCTTCTGAATACTAACCTACAAAACTACTATCCGTACCCCAAGTACATGTTTATTATTAGGTCCTTTGGACCCTTAGATAAAAGCCCTAAACCCTAAACCCTAAACCCCAATGACCCCCAAAATAGTATAGGTAATCCTTAAGGCCCCTATGTGATGCACTCGGCCTGGAAGGTCTTGTAGATGAAGCCTCCGCCGACACGAGCGGAGATGGTGCTCTCGCGCTCCCAACTCCGGACCTTCAGAGCTTTGTTCTCTCAGCGTTTAGGGTTTAGGGTTT